TAGGGATGTGGCTCAGTGGTTAAGCACCTCTGGGTTCAATCCCTGGTATCAAAAAATAAAAAATAAATAAAAAAAAAAGAAGAAGAAAGAAACCCAGAAGGTTTTTTTTTTTTTTTTTTTTTTTTATAGATCAAGTTTGTAGCAATAAATGTATGAACCTTACAAGCTGAAATACTTTTCAGTTGCCACAAATAAACAGGATGAACAAGAACCATACTTATTTTCTTAATGTTATAACTAAAACTATACAGTATAAACTTGAGTTAACTAGTTAAATGTGAACAACCTCTCTAACCTAAATTGGACAATTGCAGGATAAACACCACTTTGAAGACTGCATTTTCCCATCTGGTTCTCTAACCATCATGCAAACTAGGAAATATCCAAATACTTTATACCATTGTATGTGTAGTCTCCACACATACTGTATTTTCTGAAAATGGAATTACATTAGTATATTTACACATATTTAACTACATTAAAAAAGATTTGGGTAACTTTATCTGTATACTTTATGGGTCACCACATGGAGTTGGCAGAGTTGGTATCAATTTTGTTCATCAAAGCTGCTTGTAGAAAGTGGCAGAGTTTGAGTCGGGCTTCTAGGGTGAGCCAGCTATTAAAAAAAAAAATTATAATTATAATGTGAATTATGTTCCTGTAGCCCAACATAACTCTTCTTCCTCACTAACAAAACCCTGTTTTATTGTTGTTCTGTTTGTTTGTTGTTGTTTTTGCAGGGCAGCATTACATCCAAATTCTAAAACCAGTCTTTCCCAGCTTTTTGATATAACCATAAAAGTTCTTGGATAAGGCCTCTTCAAAGTGATGAGAATAGCTTAGTACACCTTTCTGATCTGGGCCTTTCTCCTTCTCTAGCCTGAAATGTGGACATGAGACTCTAGCCATTCTGAACCACAAGGTTAAAAAACACACATTGGGCTGGGGATATAGCTCTGTTGGCAGAATGCTTGCCTTGCAAGCCTAAGGCCCTGGGTTCAATCCCCAGCACCACAAACAAACAAACAAACACCAAAACACACACATTAAGGATTGAAGAGCAGGGATGACATGATGAATCTGCTGTATTAAGTGTGGACTTCCTACTTCCTAAAAGAATACTAAGAAAAACAAATCCTTATCTGATTAAGCCACTGTGATCAAATTATTGTTACTGGTAGTCAAAAGCAAAACATAACTGATAGAGTTGCTTCAGAGTTAAAAGAAAAAGGAATCTAAGGGCTGGGTAGGAAAAGTCATTCTATATTTTACAGTAATATTTATGAGGCATCTGCCTACTAAGTGGATTTTTGGTAGCACTACATATGGCATAGGTCTTATCTGTGATTTTATTGTTGTTGCCTAATATATGAGTTTATTATTATTATATAATTTTGTTTCCATAGTTCCTGACATATTGTATTAGTTATTGGGTAAGGCAGAGGCATGAAGCATCCCATAACTAAACAGAGAAAGGAAGGGGTTAAGTCCTTTTCTCTTTGCCCCTTCCCCTCATAATGTATTTTTTTTTATTTTTGAAAAATTGTTTTATTTGTTCTTTTTAGATATACAAAATAAGAGTATATTTTGACACATTATACATACATGGAGTATAACTTAATTTTAATATTTTTTAGTAACAGGGATTGAACCCAGGGGCACTTAACCACTGAGCTACATCCCCAGCCCTTTATTATTTTTATTTATTTTTATATTTATCTATTTATTTATTTATTTATTTTTTGGTGGTGCTGGGGATTGAACCCAGGGCTTTGTGCATACAAGGCAAGCATTCTACTAACTGAGCTATATCCCCAGGCCCTATTATTTTTTATTTTGAGACAGGGTCTCACTGAGTTGCTTAGGGCCTTGCTAAGTTGCTAAGGCTGGCTTTGAACTTGTGATCCTCCTGTCCCACCTCCCCTCATAATTTTTGTTTTTGGTACCAGGGACTGAACTCAGGGGTACTCAACTACTGAGACACATCCCCAGCCCTATTTTGTCTCACTGAGTTGCTTAGGGCCTCGCTAAGTTGTTGAGGCTGGCTTTGAACTTATGATCCACTGCCTGAGCCTCCCGAGCTGCTGGGATTATAGTGGTGTGCCTCTGCAGCTGGCTTTCCCTCATAATTTTTGAATGCTGTGATATGGGGTAGACCCCTACTAGATGCTCTACATGGAGAAGGGAATGTGGGCCACATCTCCAATGAAGGCCATGGAGTGCCCAGAAGAACTAAGTTGATTAGCAAGAGGTAAACCAATTGCTAGTTTGAGTTCAAAGCCAGCCTCAGCAAAAGTGAGGCCCTAAGCAACCTTGTCTCTAAATAAAATACAAAATAGGGCTGTGGATGTGGCTCAGTGATGGAGTATCCCTGAGTTCAATCCCTGGTACCCAAAAAACAAAACAAAACAAAACAAACTTACAGCTGGGCACAGTGGTACACATCTGTAATCTCAGTGACTTGCGAGGCTAAGGTAGGAGGATTGCAAGTTCCAGGCCAGCTTGAGCAACTTAGCAAGGCCCTAAGCAACTTAACAAGACCCTATCTCAAAATAAAAAAATAAAAAGGGATGGAGGTTGTAGCTCATTGGTAAAACGTCCCTGGGTTCAATACCCAGTACCAAAAACCAAAACAACAAAAATACAACTTATAAATGTCTAGATTTTGTATCTCATCTGATAATTAAAATATTTACAAAGTGTATTTTTACCAAAGAGATACAATTCATTATGATAAAATATTACAGAATAAACTTTGTTTTATAACAATTGTCCCACAAAAGACACTGATTCTTTTTCTGTGTATGTGGTGCTTGAAATCAAAACCAGGGCCTCATGCGTACTAGTCAAGCACTTTACCAATGAGCTATATTCCCAGCCAAGGTACTGATTTTTTTTTTTAAATATTTATTCTTAAGTTTTATGTGGTGCTGAGGATCGAACCCAGTGCCTCATGCATGCTAGGCAAGCACTCTATCACTGAGCCACAACCCCAGCCCAAGGCACTGATTTTTTTGTTTGTTTTTATTTTGGTGTGTGGGTCATACATATAGCTGACAAGGATGAAAACTGTCAAACCCTTATCTGTCAATCCTGCATGGTGTGACTCCCATCTACATCTCCATTCTTGTCTTTTCCCAATTTTTCAGAATCTTTCTATGTGTTATAGTCACAGTGGATAGTTTTTAGTTCCTTGGATAGGACATGATCCTGTCACCCATGGGACCCATATGCATGCAATTCTCTGAGCCCAGACCTTTCTCCTTTCTGACATTCATGGTAAGCCCACCCGTTCCTGGTTAATACTTCTGCATCCTTCAACTCTCACCTCAAGCATCATCACTTCCTAAGGAATCCTTCCTAGATCATCCATTCTAGATCAGGTTCTTCTACTGGTTCCCACGGAACATAGATCCTTTCTTTCATGACATTTATTGTTGTACACAATTATATAAATATGGGATTATTTGATTAATGTTTATTTTTTTTCTCACTAGCCTGAAAACTCCAAGACAGCCAGTCTGTGTCTGCTTTTGCTTATCCTATCGCCCCAGTATTCCAGTACAGTGCTTGGCTTATAGGAAGTACCTGATACTTAGTAAAGAGCTGGTATAATCAGGCATTCATTGACAGAGTAGAAGATAAATCTGGCTACATCTCACAGAATCTTTTTTCTTTTCATCCTCAAAGAATTTTATGCAGCTTATATTTTAAAATGCTTAGCAAAGCATAAGATACCACAACAATTATCATTACTTTAGGGTTGGGGATATACCTTAGTGGTATAGCACTTGYCTAGCATGCTCAAGGTCCTGGGTTATATCCCTAGTATTGCAAAAAAGAAAAAGAAAGAAAGAAAAGAAAAAGAAATGTAAAAATGGTTCTTTAGGGACTGGGGATATGGCTCAGTGGTAGAGCACTTGCCTAGCATGTGTGAGGCACTGGGTTCAATTCTCAGCCCCTCATA